GAATTCCCTCATGTCGTCATATAGATGGCATAGAAATATGGTCTTCAGGGCTATTTGGTTGCCACAGAGAAGGGATTGGCAATCTGCAAGTGAAGTCTCACGGGCTTTCCTCCCTCCAAGGCTAGGATCTATTGGCTTAGCAGGATCTAGATAAAAACCAGGTGCTCTGTAAGGGTGATGAGCTCGTCGGCAGATTTCTCAGAGAACAACTCTATAATCTTTGTATAGGAGATAGCATGCTTAATCTTGTTCTCCAAGTTAATAGAGAGGGTGACATAGGAGTCATGCTTCTCGAGGATGGTGTAGAAGTTCTCTTCCCTAGTAATCGATAGCCCCAGGTATATAAAGACGTCCTATAATGTGATTGACATAGGACTCAGCTCAAAAATAAAAGCGTTGTAGCCTGGTGCCCAGAAGTTGAGAAAGGCCATTAGTAGGTTGATCGAAATGTCGACATCAACCAAGGAAAGTTGGATAAGGTCATAGAGACCCATCTCCTTCCATTGTTATGCATGGGCCTGCTTCAAATGTTTCACCTAGTTGGCCTAAGCGTGAGGAGACTAGGGCTTGTTCTGAAGCTTCTAGCAAGATGACTCAAAAAAGGGTGAAGTTGTTTGGGCTAGAATTAGGTTGTGGATTGAGGTTAACGGCCATGGATTCAGCTGAGCAGGAGCCATCAGTTCGAAAAGGTCAGGAGAAATAGTTAGGTATCCGACATCACTTTTATTGGAGATTTGGAAGCTTCAAGGAGAAGTATTAGAAAGACAATGAATAATCAGTATTTTTATCCCTAATAAAACAGAAGGGCCAAATAAAAAGTGAAGAGTTTACCAGAAGGCGATGGAATTATGGAATGGGGAATGCTCCTGTAATGAAAATAAAAAAATTCAAAATAAGAACCTAATCTTGGGGAGATACGTGTTTTAGCAATTAGATACATACCATCATCAGTCCTCCTAGTGAAGCGACAAGATTCCAGACGGTGGCTAGGGAATCAGGTAGACTTTCGATGGAAGTGATAGACGGAGTAGCAGCAGAGGCAGTGGCAATAGTAGAGGAAGCCATTTATGAGCAAGGGAGAGATTGGAGCAAGGGATGCAAAAGCTTAAACATCAAGAAATGGCAGGAAGGGCGAAAGAAGTGATCAGAAAAAGAAATAAGTTTATGTTAACAAATGGGGCTTAGAGACAAAGTGACGTTTCAATTTTTTCAAACATGCCATGTGGTTTATGTTATCAACCACTGGCACGCAGAGGACGTTGTTTTGGCTAAAATATGAAATGTTGCTCAATAGGTCACAAAGTTATTTGAGCTGAGTAACTGAAGAGTTAGGCTCAATTTGAAAAAAGGGGTTGGCCTTGAGCTCAATAGAAGGCCATGATAAGATAAATATGTTGAAATCTCACCAGTTACAGACATTGGACCGTTGGCACATAAAAACACGATCCCAAGTAATTTTGAAATCCACAAACATTATGCCCAAGTATCTTGGAGAGACGGGCTGATTGCTAAAAATGGAGAATACTAAGTAAAGACCGTGCCATGAGTCTCATGGGATCCCTAATTTTTCGGCAAAATGTTCTAGGTCTTAAGGGAAAGGCTACCACCACTCTGACACTATAAATAGAATATGAAGACACAGAAGAAAGATAGTTAACACTCAATAAAGACTCGCACTCTGCACTCTTAGCCTTTCAACTTTAATAGTTATTTTTTACCTTCAATTTAGACTTGTAATCATTCACATTCAATACAAATCAAAAATACTTGTTTCACCAAGTCTTGCGTATCTTTTACATTCGAGTGAACTGTGATAAGGAAGCTCGAGACTTTTTTATTATTAATTGAGACTCAACATCTCTTACACACCTAGTTTTTGTTGTTCACACACAAATAATATTATTTTAACAATTTTTATTCAAACTATTTTTAGTTGATGACAACTAATTAAAATTTTTGAAAAGCAAAAAAATTTTCTCCCCACATAAAACAATTTCTAGAAGCTACTCTAATTATAGACCAAATTAGATGATTTAACGTTGAGGATGAGGAAGCGGTGGGGAAAAGGGTGAAAGAGAAAGGGAGAGACCCCACCCAAGCCGCTTTATATCTGCTTTTTCTGTTGACGTGGACTATTTGTCTCATTGTGTGTTTCTTTCTTCTTTTTTCTTCTTTTCAAATTTTAAAGGGAAAAATACTTCTCGATGAGCAAGCAAGCATCCCATCTATTTTCTGAACGTGAAATCAAAAATTTTTTGATTTTTTCATTTTGTTGAAATATTTTCTGGGCGAGATGTCTTCTTAAAATAAAAAAATAGAAATTAATTATTTTTGTATGAAATTTACATTAATTAAAAAGTAATTATTATCAAAATTTAAATAGATATATATTGATAAACAAGCCTAAATGAATTATTATTAATTTAAAATGAGTTATTAAAATTTAAATGGATATCTATTGATTTAGGTTAGTCTTTTATTAATAAATATTCATTTAAATTTTGACAGTAATTGATCATTAATTTATATAAATTTCATACAAAGGTTTTTAATTGCTATTTTTCCTTAAAAAATTATGTTATTTTAAAAATTTATATATTTATAAATTAATAAATTTTTATAAATGGATATGTAAAGAATTATAATTATCAATATTATACGTCTTTAAATTTTAAAGACATTTTTTGAAGCTTATAAAATTAAAAGGTATCACTTGATAAAAAAATATTTTAAAAAAAATCCATATATTAAAAGGGTTTTTCTTTCCATCATGAAAAGTTTTGATTAATATTAATTATTAAACTATGTTAGTTTTTAAGAATGTTCACGAATTAACATAAGATTGTTCAAGAATCGAGCTATGAATTAACATATGATATAACTTTTAAATAAAGTTTTAAATAAAGTTTTACTATTTAAAAGATATCATTTCAAGGCATCGCTCTAATATTTATAAATATCTCTCATCATCACTCATTTCACATATTCATCCATGAAAACTATGAAAAAAAAGTCCAACACTTACTATTGATTTAGTCTTTTAAATTAAATTGATAAACTATATTTAAATATTGTTAGATTCAATTGAATGTAATTCCTAAAATTATGTTTTGTATTCACACATCTTCAAATTTTATTGAAGCTTCAAGTTTAAGGGCCCACAAACCTTTTTAGTAAGGAATGTGAGGAGAAGTGGAATAATTTATCTCTTGACAGCAGTGTAGTACTGTAATATCATTGAAATTTTGATATGCCTTTTAATCACGGGAATCCATCCTTTTGTTAAAGTGTCTTCATTTTTATATTCAACCAAGTTGCAATGACTTGAAAAAAATAATAATAAAATAAAATTGTGAATAACAAATTTTGTATTTATAAAATATTAATTATTTAATGATGAGGTGCACCAAATGTGAATTTTTTTTTTTGGGGCCAAGTGAAAACTTCATTCCAATGCCAAGAAAACAAAGGAAGTAATAGTATATTTACCCACCTAGTGGAGCATACATCTTGAAGCTATATAAAGTCCATAATGTTTAATTAATCCCTTAATATTTAAGGTTCTTTTGCTTACTAAGAAGGAATAAAACCTAATGGATTGAAAAAATAAAAATAAAAATAAAATAATCAAAGAGGATAGGTGACTACATTTATAAAAAAAAGGAATAATCTAGTTCATAAAATTTAAAATTATGATTCATAAAATTTTTGGATGGTATGATGATTCCTACATTTATAGCATATATTAATGAGTTTTATCATACTTATCATAGGAGAAAAGAAATTTAGTTCTTTTTTTTATTTTTTCAATTCATTTTATTCCATTCCTTTTTAATAACTAGACAGTATTTTAATTAACTATTAACTAATTAAACTCCAATGTTTATTGCATATTCTATGTGATTATGTGAGGTTAATAAGTGTATCTCTACCTTATTAAAAAAACCATCTATTGTGTTAACTTGCAAACTTCAAGTTTTTACATGATTTAACTTAAGTTTTACACTTAACCTATCTCTTTTAAGTATAAATTAAGTGAACTTGACAATATAATCACAACATTACATTTCAAAAACATTGTATTGACTTTACGTTCAAGAGAATCCAAATTCTATATTATAATATTTTCTCGTTTATTCTCAAGTAATCAATTCTTATTGGCATGTGATAATTAGATTGCAAATTGCTCAGCAGCCATCATCAATCAATTACCCAATCTGTCAAAAAAAAAAAAAGTAGCTCGTTTCAGATATTATTATAAATTAAAACCTAACATAATCACATGTAACAAGATTCTGATACTTACAATATTTTTTCTTTGGTAACCTCCGAAAATTTTTCATTGGAGGAAATTATATTTGAGATAATATTGAGTGCTAAATGTAGGTACTGAAAGGAATTTAAAACTTGATCTATCACATTATGAAGAAATTCTTAAGTAGATTGAGTGCATCATATTATTTATGATTTTTTCATAAAAATATGACATTTAGATGGTTTTAAACATAAATTAATTTTAATATTAATGATAATAGAAAAAGAAAAGATAAAAAAATCAAATTTACATTCTGTTATAAGAATAAAATTATTTAAAAAAAGGTCAGAAAAGATTTTATTTAGATTATTTATAGTATTTTAATTAAACAGATCATAAATAATGTGATGTACTCAGTTTATCTAAATATTTCTCTATATTATAAGTGATTAGTCATTTCTGTTAAACTTAACCTCCGTTGGTTACAATAGTTTAATGTGACCTGAGTAAATTCCACCACAAAACATACCAAAACAACTTGGGCGTCGACCCAGCACAACATGATCCAAAAGAATTTGGGCTGGGCCCACTCGATCATCTGGGCAATTCCTTCATAGTCAGTGGCCCATAGACGAAGCTTGAAACCTCGCAAACATTCTGGATTTCTCGACCGATTCAGTTTCTCGACACTTTTCTCGAGAGGACCACATGTCCCATCTCCTCAATTTAAATACCCATCCAACCGTCCACTTCATCGTCAAGGACAGCAAAGCAAAAGAAAGCAACTAAGCTAGTATCAGCAGCTCTCGCTTCTCTCATTCTCTGTTCTTGTTCTCTTTCGAGCTTCGAGACGAACATGTCGTTGATCCCCAGTTTCTTCGGTGGTCGGAGGAGCAGCATCTTCGATCCCTTCTCTCTCGATGTGTGGGACCCCTTCAAGGATTTCCCTGTCCTTTCTTCTTCGCCGGAAAATTCAGCGTTCGTGAGCACTCGCGTGGACTGGAAGGAGACTCCAGAAGCTCACGTGTTCAAGGCCGATCTTCCAGGTCTGAAGAAGGAGGAGGTCAAGGTCGAGATCGAAGATGACAGGGTGCTTCAGATAAGCGGAGAGAGGAATGTAGAGAAAGAAGACAAGAACGACAAGTGGCACCGAGTTGAACGTAGCAGCGGGAAGTTCATGAGGAGATTCCGGTTGCCGGAGAATGCGAAAATGGATAAGGTTAAGGCTTCCATGGAGAATGGGGTACTTACTGTGACTGTTCCTAAGGAAGAGGTTAAGAAGCCTGAGGTTAAGGCTATTGAGATCTCTGGTTAAGTAGATGAAGAGTGAACGGTTATGAACGAGTCTTCCTTTGTCTTATAATGTTGGAGCGTCAGTGTTTGTAATATAGTGTGGTGCTTTCTGGGAATTTAACAACCTTGTGATGGATTAAAAATGGTTTGAAGAGACGGTCGTGTGTTGTATAATATGTTGCTGTTAAGTTTTCTGGGGGCTTGTCATTTTGGAATAAATTGTGAGTTAATTTTGATTGCATTTTATTTTTAATGCTTATCATTTTATTTTGTTTTATTTTATTGTTGTAGTCTTTTAGTTTTGATATGCTTAGAACATTTAATTCCTATAATTTTAGAAATGCTGTGAGCTAGGTGGAATTATATTTGTTGATAAGTAGACGACTCTGATAATGTATTTATTGTCATCTCCCCCATTGCATTTATATTTTATTTTTAATCATACTAGGTCAATTAATTTTCTTGTCATTAACATTTTTACTAAAAAGGATAACAGAGTAATTGTGAAATTATGTCCATGATCCATCTTTATATTCATTTTTAAAACATTACAGACCAATGTTACAGACTAATCTTCAAACTTGTAAAGAAATACATTGTAGTTACATTTTTAAGATGCAGCAAGCTGGGGGGAGGGGGGAGGGGAAGCTTGTTTGGGGCATGAGATTGACCCTGCAGGAAAAAAAAAAAAAAAAAGAATGACGCCTTCCAAACATAATTTAGACATTAAAACTCATTTATTTTCCGCCACATAATTTACAGCCACTAAAGTTAAGATGTACAAGTTAGTTAATTATTTTTTGCTTTGGTTAAATCCTTGACAACACACTAATCATTTGTTACTCATACAACATACAAAGATATAGAAAACTATTTCTCTAATTTAAGCTAGAAATCCACCTATTTACTTGGCTTCTCCCTCCTTACTAAACTAGGATCTTCATGCTTTCTTCAGCAGTCCATCATGCTTGCTTCCATCTCATCCAGACGAGTCTGTATCTCCTTGGCCTCTAGCTCGCATGAGATGATTTCACCTTTTAATTCCTGCAGCTTCATCTTGAGCTGATCAGCCTTCTCTCGAAGCAATTGACTACGCTTTTGAGATGCTTCAAATTCGGCCTTGGCCTTGACATGACTGTTATGTATGCTACCAAGCCTCACTTCCTCCTCCTCATAACACTGAATGTGCTCCTCAGGTCTGACAGAGTTGTCACTGTCAGGTGTGTAAGCAAGTCTGACTTTCTCCTCTTCATGATGCTGAATGTGTTTTTCAGGAGACAGGTCATTGCCGGTCGTGGAAGGTATTCTCTGACGCAACATTGACCGTGCATTCTCCTCAAGAAATTCCCATGACACTGAAATTGTCATGTCTATATCCAGAGAATCATCAATATCAATATTTGGACTAATATCTGTGTCCTGAGGATAGCCAGTATTTGGAGCAATGTCCATATTCTGAGGATCGCTAGTATTTGGAACAATGTCTGGTTCCAGAGGATCATCAATATTTGGAGAAATGTCCATATCCTGAAGATCGCCAATAGTCATGTCTGGATCCAGAAGATCTTCAACATTTGGAATAGCCGACAGTGTATCCTCCCACACGCAATGACTGCACGCTCCATGACCCTGTTTGAAACTTACTCTTCTGTTAAGGCAGAAGCAATAGTCCTAAAGTTGTAGCGGACCAAGAATAAATTCATGAAATTCTAGAGCAATTAATAGAAATCATATTTCTCATATACAGCAAAGGAAAAGGGGAACAATCTTCTACATATGCTATAAATTCTTTATCATATATAGCTACATCTACATCCAGACATCCAATCCTGGCAGCATCTTTATCACTCCTTTTCGATCAATATCAAGAGGATGGTTGGCGAGTATCAACATAATTCCTTTCTGTTGAGGATTAATGTGAATGATAGAGTATAATGGTATCACATAATTCATGCAGTCAACTCCACCTAGTGGGATAAGGCATGTTGTTGCTGCTGTTGTTGTTGAGGATTAATGTGTTTCAGCCATTTATGCTTGTTGGGCGTTACATTATTCCTCTGTTCCATTTCTTTATAGGGTTCAGTAATCAGTATTAGTATTATCCCATCAGTATTTTTATGTCTGATAGTAAGATATTAAGAGACTTTGATATCTTTGCATCTGAGTAGTGGTTTTATTTTCAGTGTTGGTGTCATGAGATTGTACTTCACAACCACTGCTCTGTCCTTTGTAAACACATGGTTCTATTTAACCCCCAGATTGAAATATGAACAGCGTCTAACTGCAGCAAAAGCTCTGCTCGGTAATTTTTTTTTTTTTAAATACAAGGCCACAGAAAAACAGTGAAGAGAGATACAAAAATCAAGTCATATTTTATGTAAAAATTTTTGAAGATCTAAATTGTCTGTAGATACTTGGTGTACTAGCGTATCATTGCATCTATTAACTTTTTTTTTGAATGCATGTTCAAAAGTGATCATTCAGTTTTTCAAGGCAAAATCTTAAACATAAGAACAACGGCATGAACACATCTATGTACTTGTTTCAATCATTGTCTATAGGTCTCACAAGTCAATCTTAAACATAAGAACAAAGGCATTCATATATAGGATACTATCTACTGCACAATAGCCTACCACAAACATTCTACTATCTCTGGTCCTAATTGTAAGACCTCATTACTTAATTCACACCTATTAAGAAAAGAGGTTAAGTTGGTTATTTGTGTTTAATCTGTAAGAAAATTGTGGTACTTTCCCTAAAATACCTCTCCCACTATTGACATTTATGATTGATTTCCAATACGCAAGGTTAGTTTGAGGAAAAAATTAATAAATGATGCAGACAAAAGAGATTGAGCTCTTATAAATAGGAACAAAACAAAGCTAGCTTCCCCAGGGATGGATGGAATACAAGTTTGAGCCAAAGGTTCATTAAATCTTCAGGTTTTAATGTGCACGTGTTGTAAGAAACAATAAGAGATGTGATAATGCTAGAGTTTTCCTGATACATAAATACGCTATAGTTATTTCAACTACCTCTTTTAAGGCATAGAAATATGGCGGTTACAAGCTTGAAATATTTCTTCATATGACTATGCACTAAACATCGAATAAGACACAGAAAACTAGAGCATAGAAACAACGAATGGTGCCTAGATTGCCAACAATTTAAAGCACAAACCTAGGAAAGTTACTCAGAAGAAGCTACAACAACAACACAGTTTTATCACTCCGACATTCCAGTTACTCACAATGTTACAAGTAGCATCAACTCGGGACTACTAATAATAAATAAACCAAGTCCAACAGTGAGTTTAACAGCAGACACTAGCAAAGAAGAGAGAGATAAAAGAATAAAGAAGGAACAAAACACAACATAACCTGTGGGTTCTAAAAAAATTAGCATACCTGTTTAATTGGGCATGCAAAAAAATAGCGCCCCTTATGGGGACCACTTGTAGCTTTGACTCTCCTGCAAACTCCGGCGCCACAAGAACAAGTCGGGTATGTATACTGAGGAGGACGCAAGTAGCTCTCATCAATAGGATCCTCACACCACTGAACAAAATCCTTACATTTTTTCCCCTAAGAACAGAAACCAGTCACCACATTTGACACAGTAAAAATGGGAGAAAAGAAAAGGCTGCAATCAAGAAGCTGAGCGATTGGTGACATTACTCTCTTGATGGGGCAGACGTAGTAGCTCCGGCCACAGTTCCGATCATTCTTGGCCTCTCGGACCTCGCAAAACCCATGGCCGCACCGGCAATAAATATTTGCGATTGTGGAATTAGGAGGAGCGATGGGGGAGCGAGATTGTTTGAAAGGCCAGTGGCGACTCCAGTGACCTGGTTGACGGCATCGGAAGCAGAGATCATCCGGACGGCGAGTTGTTTGGATTGGAGTGTGCGGCGAAGGAACTTGGAAGTGGGAAATGCGTTGGGGAGCAAGAGGAGATTCCATTTCATTCACACAAGACCAGAATCACAGTCTACACAGCACACTCGATCCCATTCATCTCTCAAAAGATGTGGTGAACTATGAAAAAGCCACTTTGGTATCTGCTTTTGCTGTTGACGTGGACTACTAGTGCCGTTGTGTGTTTTTCTTTTTACTTTAAAGAAAAAAATGGCAAAGGCATGCTTTTTTTTTTTTTTTAATCATGATCTTTTAAAATATCATGTATTTATAAATTAAATAGTTATATTTTTATAAATTAAGAAATTGTTATATTGAGTCATGTAAAAAGTTACAGTATCATTTAAATTTTAATTGAGTATAATAAATTATAAAAATAATTAATTAAATAATAAATTTTAATCATAATTAATTATATTATAATGCGCAATCTGTTTAAATACTTTTTTTGTAAAATTTATTTTAATAGAATTGAATATATTTGAATAATTTGTGCAGAATTAATTTTAGCTGTATAAATTATCATAAAAGATATTATTTTTTAAAATTTAATTATTAGTAAATTTATATCTAATATTATTAAAATTGTTACATTTTATTTAAGAAGTAAAATATATTATTTAAATTACATATCTTAATTTAAATTATATTAATATTAACATTTAAATTTACATAAATAAGTAACTCAATATATTTTAATTAAAATAGATTTAATAAAAGAAAAAAATTAATTCTTAAATATCAAACATTAATTTTACAACAACTAATGAAGATGATAATATACAAATTGATTTCTAATAACATCATGAATATTAGTCATAACTGATAAAGAAGATGTTATAGATGATAGTAAGGACGAATATTCATCAATGTCATGGTCTTCCTAATCTTCCCTTTCATGATGCATAAAATTAGGATCAGAATTAGAGTGTCCTCTAATGAAATTATGCATCGCCATTGATGCAATAACGATATGAACTTGTATATCATAGTTGTAACTAGGCATGTTGTATAAAATTGCAAACTTGTTCTTCCAAACTTTAAATGTTCTTTTTATTGTGCACTGTAAACTTAAATAAAAATAAATAAAGATCTCATTATTATTTGCAAATTTAGTTAATCTTCTAAAAGCAGGAAGATGGTAGTGTTCCTGTTTATACGGATCAAGATATTCATTTGGTGTTGGATACCCGACATCCACCAAATAATATTTACCTTATAAAAAAGAGATTATTATCAATGTTTGTAAATTGAAAAGTCTAATGTAAATAAATTGAATAAACAAATATACCTAAAGCTAGATATGCAAAGTTCATTGATCAATTGTCAGAGTATGTTAAAAAATGCAAGCATCATATGCAGTACCCTCCCATCCAGCCAAGACAAAAGTAAAGCACATGTCCCAATCACACACAGTATTACATTTTGCGTAGAGATTTCTTTTCTTTCTATATATTTTAATTTTTTACTAGTAAGGACTATACATGGAATATGTGTGCCATCAATTGCTCCAATTGCATTTTAAAAAAATGGCCAATATCACCCATCATTTTATATTTTGTTTGATATGTATTAAAGGACCTGCCTTGTTTTTTGATATATTCCATTATAAGTTTCAAGCCAGCCATTAAAGCTTCATGAAAATATCTATGGATAGTCTCTCCTAAATGTTAAAATCTTTCTTGTGCCATCTTGTTTTTCAACCTATGTCCAATTGTATTTAAAAATATTGCAACCATTTCCTGTACTCTCATTCACCTAGCATCCTTCAATCTATGTTGTGTCAATTCACTACATAATTGATGAAACACATGTGGTTTCATTCTAAATATTTCATAACAACGAATTGAGTGTCCTTTTAATATTTCATTCACCCACATATGACCTGTATATTCACTATTTCTTTGTGGCTTTTTACATAAATGTTTTGCTGCATACAACCTACTGAAAGCACTAACTTTTTGGGCTCTCTTTAGCCTTTTTTTATATGACTCTTCCATACTTCTTGCTACCTATAGCCAAACACATAAATAACATGTTCATTTAATTTCAATTATAGATATATCTAAATAATTTAACTATGCAAATATCACTAACTTTTCTACAACATTATAATACTTCAATAGCATATATAAAAAGCACATAAGTAGTTCAAAGAGCTACATAAGTCAAATTCAATAATATAATACAAACATGTCAAACTGCTATTTAAGTAAGATAATATGTTCATAACAAATTTTAAAACCCTCATAATCAACCATTTTTACAACACTCATATCTCAACCACTCTAGAACACTCTCTTTATCATCTTTCATGGTCAGAAACATCACCCTAGCCTCTCGGGATATGGCGAGTGACATGCATCATGAAATCTAATGTTTGTCAGCTGCAACTTCTTCCCATTGTTTGACTATAGAGATGACTTGAGGAATTGATGTTTCCTTGGCCTGTTGAGATTCTTCTTTTGTTGTTTGAGCTATCACACTCATTGCATTTGCTATTAGACTTATAGTAGGTAACTTGTTCTTTTTTCTACTGTTACTACTTTCGTCCTTCTTTCTCTTACCACTGCCTCCACTTAAGGTTCATTGAGAAGCATTCAGAAATACTCTATTGAATTTATCGCTTACTCCAGTAGTAGTTCCTAAAATCTCATCACTGTCTCTTGAACCTTCTTCTAAATTAATACCTTTATTTGCCATATTTGGGCAATATACATATTCATCCTCACCTTCATTCCTATTATAAATGTTAAGCAAAACTCTACTTGAAGGTGCCTATGCTTTAAGTCTATTGGCAGCGATACTTTAGAACAGTTCGGTTAATTCATTAGTAAATGGTAATCCTTTATTTTTGAATTTTTTGTATAATAGATTTTCCTGTACATAAATTACCAATAATATTACAGAATACACAAATAAATAGAATAAATATATAGTCTCACATAATAACATTATACCAATATTTTTTTCTCCCACCAATCATTTGGAGCATTCACCCTATTATTTGCGTAATCCCATCCCAATTTTGTCTCACTTGAAACCAATTTATCCCAGAGAACCCATTCTTTTTTCATATTATCTCACTTGTTCTTAAATTATTGTCTGTCATAGTTCTTTCTAGTCTTCTCATTGAAGCTAGAAATTATATTTAGCCATCATGCTTTGGTGAACCACCATTTCTTTATGATTTTTATGCTTGTTCCAAACATATGTCACTAAATATTCTAATATTTCTCTAATCCTATGAAACTTTTGACTTATCGTTATTCATTATGCTATATAAAAATTAATTGTTTGAGAATATAAAAATCAATTGTTGCTCTAGATTTGAACTTGAATATATTGATGACTGTAAAATCACAACTTCACAAGTACCAGATTCAAAGACTGACACATTGAGAATATTTAAAAATAAATGCAACTTTAGTTTTTATTGTATTATGACCAATTAGGAAGGAATAACCATTACATGGCATTTGGCATCCATGTGATGCTGGTTCACTAACATGGTTTCCCAAATTTACAAGAATGGCAAGCTATAACTATGTTACTTGTTTATATGCATCGTCCTTAGACATGTCAATATATAGGACTAACAGCAATCAAAGACAAACTCAAAGCTGAATCAGGAAAACGAAACCCACCCAACTCCTGCTCAAAACCCCGAAAGGGCATCTATGATCCAAGTCAAAGAACCCACCATTAAAGTGAAAAAAAATCAACAAGTTAATTATAAGAATTATAATTAAAACATTACATGATAAAAACTTGACAATATTTAGTCTTCAAAATTTAACACCAACCAACTGATATTTCAATGTTCTTTATGCTCCACATTTTTCCAAAAGAATAACACAGACTTTAAATACTTATTGGCCATATTTAATAATTTAAATATACATACATTTGCTTGGGCCAAACCATGCTGAATCAATTTTTCATGTTTCCATTGAAATATACAACATCTTTAAATTTTTAGAGGAGCTAAAATCAACTTTCAACAGATTGTTAAAATTTCATTCTTTCCCTACATCAAAATCCAACAAAGAAAGGAATTAGAATTTTCCAATCCACCTCCTGGCTTGTTTGTGAGAGCATTTTGCTTTCCCATATCAAGTCATAGTTTTGACTAGACACAAAAACAGCACATAAACTTTACAAAGAAATAGCAAAATTTACAAGCCACAATTAAAGCTCGAAATCACGAGAAAAAAATTCCACACTAGCCAAAACAAATTCTCAAAAAAAAAAAAAACAAAGTCCACCAAATTGTTCAAAATAATGATTGGAGAAGATCATTACCTCTTAACCCACTCGATACTTCACTCCAACAGATTAAAGGAGATGGGAGATGAAGACACTGGACGACAAGTAGATCGAAGAGGGGGCAAGTAGATCAAGGCAAGACTAACCTTCTTTGACTATGGCTGGAGATTATTGCTACCAGCCATAGCTCAGAGATTGCGGATGGCAATTGAGGATTGCACAGGACAAGGACTAGAGATCTACACATAGATCATAGATGGTTGAAGACTAGCTGTAGATCAAAGAAGGCGGATGGTGACCATGTTGGGGGTGGGTAGACGACGATAGAGAGATGGCACAAGGAAGTTGTAGATTGACGAGGTTGAGAGATGGGAGACAACAGATATGAGAGAGAGAATGAGAAATGAGAAATGAGAGAATACATGTAAACGGGTGAGGGTAATATTGGCAGGTGGATCATCGAACAAAATAATTAATGTTATAATGGTAGAATAAATTTTTGAAAGCTGGTTCAGATAAATTATAAGAAAATACATGTATTATTAATTAATCAATTTTTGGCTTTATCTACTGTTTGGATAACTTGGCCCAAAAAATTAATTTTGGGCTAATTAATTGATTATGAGCCTTATCCAAACACACACATAATTGCCACTGTGTTTCTAAATTTTAAAGATATCTTTAGAAGGTTATATAAAAATAAAAGGTGTAACTTGAGAAAAAAAATATATTTCAAAAAAAAATTTTATATTAAAAAGGTTTTTTTTATGAAAAGTTATTATAAATAACTTTTTAATAAATGTTAATTATCAAAACATGGATCGACATAA